GGGTCAACACCCCCTGGATTGGGCAAATCTGAAAACTGGGAAATCACCAAAGTCTACCAAGGACAGATAAAAAGCAGTGAAAAGTGACCCTCAGGGGCACCCTCTTGATCTCCAACTTGACCAGCACCCGACCTGTCCAGCCAGAAGGACCAGCCGGCGACCCCCTTCTGGAGGATAACACCACGCTGGAAGAAGCCTCGACTAGCCATTGACGGCAGGCTCCAGCGCTTGTGGGATAGGTATACCTGACTGGTGCCCTCCCCCCCCCAAACATTTGTAGGTCGTTACTGTGTGTGTGCGTGCGTGTGTGTGAGGGGACCAGCCCAAAGGTTTATGGTTTGACTTCAGTACAGTGTTTCAGTCTGCCTGATAAACCAGAATTTTAAGGATCCTGAGTTGGACATTTGTAGCCAACAGAGACAATTAAAAGGAAAACTCAAAAATGCTAAGTCCACACAGAAAACATTTGGGAGTCCAGATATTTTCAGGTCACTTTCCTGAAATTGATAAGCAAGTTCTCAGATACATTCAAGAAATGAGAAAGGAGGGAATGCCAATCGCCCGCAAAGTGTTTTGACTCAAAGTATTAGAAATAGCAAAGGAATTGAACATTCCCCTTCAAAAATCAAAGCAAACAATGGGTGATATATCTGAATGATGCAACTTAGCCCTGAGATGAAGAACATCACTTGTACAAAAGTTACCATCAGACTGCAACAAAAAACCTGTTCAATTCCAGTAGTACATTATTGGGCTATGTAAAACACATGATTACTTGCTGGGCTAGATGGGTAATGCTGATAAGACTCTAGTCTATTTTTGACACACTGAACAATGTCACCAACCATGGGAGAGGCACAAAATCCATAAATATGAAAAGTCACGTATTACACAGATGTCAGCAGTATTGACAGATGAGAGAGAATTGCAACCCTATATGATTTGGAAATGCAAAACTGCCAAAATAACAGTTGCCACTAGGAATAGTGGTTAGATGCCAGAAGCAAGGATGGATGTCAAGTGAACTGTTGATTGAATGGTTAGACGTGTGGAAATGGAGACTTTGGGCATTGCTAAAGAAACGAGGAATGTTAATGTTAGATTAATTCAGAGGGCATTTAACACCAGATGTAAAAGCAAAATTCAGTCAATGAATTGTGTTCATGTAGTCATACCTCATCTCGGTGCCAAGTACTGGATGTCATGGTGAATATGCCCTTTAAGGAACGTTTGTGGTATCAGTATTCAGACTGACTTTTGGTAGGGAACCATGTGCTTACACCTGGCAGGAAGATTAAGAAGCCAAACACACCACTGCTTTGACAATGGATTCTGACTTCTCGGGGAAGGATATCTTCAAAATCCATTATTAAAGGCTTCCAGAAGCACTGTATATCCAATGCCATAGATGGAACTGAAGATGTTTGTGGGAAGATGAGGAAGATGGGAACAGTGAAGAATGTGAGAGTGAGGATGCATGTGAAAGTAACTAGTTCTAAGTTGTAGGCTCTAAGAAAGGAGTAGCACTTACCAGGTTTTGGACAGAACCTAATATAGGTTAGGTTAAGTTAATGTTTGAATTAAATTGAAGCTAATGTTGAATTTATGACTTACTGGCATTGCTATATTTTTTGTCAGTAGGTCTGTTTATAAAAAGAATATAAAATTAAACATTTTTCTTATGTGGAATCTAATTATTGAGGGGGTGATTTTAAATTCAGGGTCATCTTAGCTTTGAATAAATACGGTAGGTTTTTAAATCTCTCCCAATTATTGAATATTGTTTTTAGTTCATTTTTCTCCTAGATACATTAGGAAGTCTAGACCAGGAGTTTTGTAGAGGGTAGGTTGCAACTACAGGCCCCCACCCCTTTCTGCAGCTCCAAGCCGCCTGCTGCTGCTTACACCAGGCACTAACACCACTGCTAATTTCTGCCTCCAGTGGCAGGTGAGAAGGGCAAATTCAGCAGCATAGGGAATGAGAGAAAGCAGCAGAGGGGGCTGCAGAAGAGATCAATGGCCCAATGCAGCGTGGAGAAAGGGAGACAAACTGGGGTGAGCTGTGTGCTTCCATGGGAAGTATCCATTCACTTCATGGTCTGAATCTCAGTGTGTAACAGACTGAATCTGGCTTAAGGGCTTTTCCTTCCATATTTATAATTGTGTGGATTCCTTATTTGTCTTTTCTGTCACGTACTTGCCTCCTAATTTAAGAACATCTACAAATTTTAATATAAAGTGCTTGTTAGCCCTTAAAATTACTAATGAAACTGTTGGATTTGTCCTGCAGTTCACTAGATAAAATCTCTAACTTTAAACAGAAGGTATAATTATTTATTGTTAATGCTTTTCCTTATGCTTATTAATAGAAAAACTAAAACAAAAATCTGGATTGTCCTCCCAAAAGGGATCATCCCACTAGTGTCATTTGTAGAATCCCTTCATATCAAAATTGATTGGGCAGCACAATCTCAGGGGGAAAAAAGTATTACTAAAACCTAAAAAAATTAATTGGAAGAACAGATATTTCTTATAATGGTGAACTGCTAGACTTCTGCCTATACAAATTGGGGAAAGCTTTAAATTTGTTTTGTCATATAATTCTATTTTTAACTATGTACCGTTATCCTCAGAATTAAGACTAGACTCAGTTAATGTAGGTAGTCATTTAAATTTTGGAGGCTTTTTTCATTAAGTATATCAAAGTCATTTATCATTGGTAGAGCTGGTTGAATTTTTCAATGAAGACTTCTTACTGGAAAATACCCTCACTTAAAAAAAAAAAAAAAAAAAAAAAAAAAAAAAAAAAAGCTGTTTAAAAGAGCTATTTTGTAATGGCGTTCAACGTTTTTCACCTTAAAGTTTATTGAAGCCATCACCTATGGGAAACTTCAACTTCACTTATGCAAAAATCAAACTTGAAAATAACTGGAAGAGGTTACCTTTCAAATACTGAGAAATGGAACGTTTGAATTTTCAGTACATTATTAGAGCGTTTAATTGGAAAGTAGGTGAAAGGATAGTCTGACTCTGTCCTTCCTGTTTCTTTGCTATAAACACTAGACAGAATGTTTAGAAACACTTTCGCTACAAAAATGTAGTCAGGCATTGCAAAATGCCTGGTTGGCCCTGTGTGTTTTGGTTTTATCTTAAGTATTGAATTTGATTAATTATAGATTTCATAGACCTTAGGGCTGGAAGGGACCTCACAAGATCGTTGGGTCCAGCCCTCTGCCCCAGGAAGTCTGCTGTGGTCAAATGATCCCAGCAAGATAAGTGTCCAAGTATGTCTTGTCCAGAGTAGGTGCTTGTACCACTTCTGGGAGGAAGTCTATTCCAGATTCTGGGGACTCACATGGTAAAGAAGTTTTTTCTTATGCCCAGCTTAAAACCGTCTTCCCAAAGTTTGTGACCATTAGACCTTGTCTTCCCTTGGGGTGCCCTGGTAAACAGATGTTTTCCCAGTTCCTGGTGCACCCCCCCAATATACTTACAATTAAAATGTGAGCTTCACTGTGTGCATATCAAAATGCTTTTTCCTGATAATGTGTCCTGTCATTTCATACATATTGGCTTTCCCATAGAAGAACACCATGTTGCTGCATTGAAAACTGTCTCTATCAGGTTAGCAAACCATGGCCTGTAGAGCCACTGAACCCAGCCTGCACAACTTAGGCTTCAGTGCTGGGGGGGGGGCTTTGCTCACACCATGGCAGGGAGGCAGCTAGAAGTGATGGCTGCAGCAGCCAAGTCCTAGTACCAGCCTGCCTTGGACCTCACCTGGGTCATCTTGGCCTGATGATCACTGCTCTGTACCATTAGCTGTAAGTTAAGAATTCAGCATAATCCTTTGAGTTAAGAGTCCTGATTGTAGCTGCAAAACTTTGTCCTGTTGATCTGGTTCAAATATCAGGTTCCTCAAATGTACTTGGAGCACACCCCTTATAGCAGGGGAGGCGGAGGAGGTGGGGGGCAGCCTTTTAGGCAGGTATGCCAGAAATTAGCCCATGACCTTCACTGAATGCTACTCTGATTCCGTTCGCTTCCCTGATCCTCCCGCTCTACTTTCTGTTCCCTACTCTGTGCTACTCTGCTTTCTGCTCCCTGCCCCATCTGCTTCTGTTCTATCTGTTCCCATTAGAGGCTGCCCATGCCACTTGTGCCACTTTGTGGCTTATTGAAACAGCTGTTTTGCTGTTCTGCAGCCACAACTACTGAGCGCTGGCTGTTGCATAGATGTGTCACTAGTAAAAGTGTACAAAAGCACTTGTAAAGTTTAAAAGAAAAATTTATAGGTGGAAAAAAGGAAAGATGAGAAAAATAGGAAAGAAAAGCAGAACATTTTGTGTTAAGATCTGTAAAATCACTGCTGACAACGAAACTATCCATTTTACTGGAGCTGATTTTGGGGTAGCGTTTTGCTTGGTCTCCAGTTTTTACTTTTAGTTCATGTTTATTTTGAAGGCACATTTGGTGGAGCAGTCTCAAGAAGTAATTAGTCACTGATTAGATTTAAATATATCTTCCTGGATAGACAAGCAAGCAGACTTCATTAGCAAAGTTATTTCTCATGATGTCTTTCCATAGCAAGTGCTTTCTTTTTGTGTTCCTTAATTTTAATAGTTTATATAAAGTTAACTTTTCCTGAAAAAGAAATGACGTTCCATTAAAAAGGTTGCAGAAATCCCAAACTGAAAATGTTTTTAAAGTATTGAGAAACTTCTGTTACTACCAGGTTCTCCATCTTTAATTTTTCAGCATATTCAGCCATTCCATGTAGCCTCATTAAATACTTTTGTTTTTCCCCTTTGTATTACAATTGTTTTGTTTTCCCAGTTTCCTTTAAAGTTTTCATAGTAGAAGAGGCCTGGGATCTTGAAATATTGAATATTAATCAAAGTAGCTGGGTTTTGTTCTTTTTCTTTTCTGTAGAAGGGTATCTGAAAATTTTTTACAAATTTTATCTTGGAAATTAGTTTATTCATTATGTTTAATTTTAGGAAATGGTGCTCTTGCAGAACATTCTGAAAATGTGCATATTTCAGGAGTGTCAACTGGTAAGTCATTTTTTGTAATGTTTAAATTTCATGCATGACTTAAATGGTAAATATTGAAAGCCACCTGGTATCTTATGAAGAGATATTTGGCTATAAAAATTATTACTGCCTTTTGCAGCATGTAATAAGGAATGAAGGAACTGGAACATGGAAAAATTCTCATAAGATAAAATTGATACCTGCGTGCTCATGAACAGATTATGCCTTTCTAAATGGACTGCTTAATTACTTTTCCATACAAACATTGAAGTAAAAGAAAAGTTGGTTTAAGTTGAATTGATATTTTCTTTCCACAGAAAGTTTTGTGAAATGAAATTTATTGAAATGTAATTTTGGACACTGTTACTATCAAAGAATAACAAATCCAAAAATTATACATTTTGCTTGATTAGATTGAAGCTGTAACTGAAACTACTATTCACTTGACTGCACAGTTTCTTCAATAAAAAAAAGAAATTTGGAACTTAGGAAACTGAAAAATTGATAGATGCTGTAGAATACAGGGTATAGTGTGGACATGTTGTGCTTAAAGATTTGTTACAGTCATTGGCCAGCATTCTGTACCATGATCCTTGGCTATCTTGGGCTTTTATGTACCACCTTGGTCCTTATATATAACCCTGGGCCTTCCTGAACAATAACTGCCAGTTGCAGTGAGTTTTTGCTGTTGTGACATGGACATGTATCCACTACCAAGTAGACATTCCCAGAGATAAAAGGCCAGTGTATTAATGGTGTCAGACAGGCTGGAGGTGCTGTTTTGTACATCTGCTCTTACCAGTATCTTTGAATATACATACACTAGAGAATTGAGCCTCTGAGAACTGTTTTCTTAGGGGAAACTTCAAGTAGTCCCTAAGAACAAATTTCATTTCAAAATCCTGTGCTCAAAATGGATCCCAATGTGTAAAGCTTGCTTTCACTTGTGCTCTGCAAGACCAGTTTCCAGATTGGAAAATCTCACCCATGGTGTTTTATTGTAGTATAGTTTCAGCCATTTCATTTCTTATTTTATACGAACATAAACTCTTCTTAGGTAAGTATTAAGTGATCTTAGTCTCTGTCATACTATGCTATCTACTTTCTTTCTTTGCATGAACAATTATCACATTCTAATTATTGCTTTCTCATCTAGTTCTGCATCATCAAAAAAGTTATGATCTTTCAATGACAATGCACAAAGCTAAGCTATGAAGTTTTAAAAGACTAACTAGCTATCTAAATGCTTAAGGAATACAAACCTTGGCTTGTAATCTTTTTGGATAGGGACAGACATTATACATAAACAAAGTGATCAGAAACTGGTTTAAACCTGTAACGGAACAGATGTTCAGTGCACATAAACCGGTCTGAAAATGGTTGAAACTGGCTCAAGATAAACCTGGTTGAATGTAGTATCAGACTTAACTGATTTGGGTCAAACCGTTTTATGAAATGTCTGTCCCAGGCCCCGTCCTGGTTTCACTTAAACCAGTTTCCCAGCATCCCAGATGCCTGGCAGTCCTGGGCAGGGCTCTCTGCTCCACAGCAGAGCTGCACCCACCCCTCTGCTCCCTGGCTGGAGCTCAGCAGAGACTAGAGGCACAACAGTGGCTGCCTGGCTTCCCCTGCCCCCCCCCCCGCCTCTTGCTGCTCGCAGCTCAAGCAGGGATTCCCCCCCCCCGGCCCCTCCCTACCATCTCCTACAGCACAGACCATAGCCAGTGTGTGATATGCTAGCTAATGATGAGAGGTGTCTATGTAAGGCAGACAGGACAGTGTCCACTTAGGGCTTTTTGGAGCTAATCAACAGATCAGGTGGTTCTTTCATTGGCAAAAAGTTCTTTTAAAAGAGCTTGAACTAATGAGACAAGTTTTCATTTTCTTGATGGGCTGCTAAATGCTCTGTTATCAGCTCCCTGCTAGGCTGGTCAGGAGCAGTAAGGCAGGGGGGAACCCTTCCCTAATCAGAGTGTCTTGCTGGGGCCTGGCCACCCCCACTTCAGCTCAGCTCTGTGGAAGGGAAGGGAGGGCTATTCTAGCACCCCCTGGTGTCTAGCCTGATCCACTGCAGGCATGTGCCTGCATTTCTTCAGTCCAGAGAGGGGATGTCTGTACAGTTACAAACCAGTTCACCCTAGCCAGCTTAGACTAACCTGCAAAGATTGAATCAATTCTGGCTCAGGCTTTTTGAATGTCTGTCTCTAGCCTTCAAGTCTAACTTAACTGAGAATTGGGACACAGCAATAGACTTAGAAAGGTGATTGATGAGGGATTTAGAATGAAATGTCTATCTTGATGGACACTATCCTGCCCTCAGTATAAAACCACTATTACCCCTTAGTCTTTTTTAACAACAAGGAATGGCATGATATCCGGTACTTGGCTAGAGGTCTTCTTCATGTGTTCAGGGCCTAACCAGTCTCTTAATTTGGGGATAAACATGGAATTTTCACCCTTGTCAGCTTGGCAAAGACTGTGGTCTGCCATTCTTTGTAGTGTGAGGCACGTCCCCTTTCTAGGATCATTATTTCTATTTAACTTCACAAATTCTTTGCTCTTACAGTGGCAAGGCATTGGTAGTGCTTTTGCCGACCGCCCCAACTCCCCCATTTTTTACCTGTGGCTTTTTGTAGCGACACTTCTGTGTAGATTGCTTTGTGGTTATGATATGTTAGAGGAGCCTGGGAGGATAATCTGATGGATTCTTTGGACAAACAGTTGCTTGTAAATACAGGGACTGGATTTAATTGCTCCTATATTTCTATACCTGGAAATGTGTAACAAATTCATAAATTTTCCATATATAAAATATAATTATTTGGGAGTCACCTTATAATCAGGGTTGTCTTATATTTGAGTAAATATGGTATATATTGAGCTCCAGCTTAAAAGTAACTGGACTCTTCCCCACCACTCTGATTAGGAGACTGTTCCAAAACTTCACTGCTCAAAATTTTAGGAATCTTTTTCTAATGAATATCAGTCATATCTACTCTCTAGCATGAATGACTGGTGCCTCCCACGACTTGGGGGCACCATAGCAGTGAGCGGGGGCTGCCTGCAGCCGCTGGCAGCAATGGTGGCGGTGGGGGGGAGGTGGTGGGCGGCAAACAGACCACCCTCAGCCACTGTCTGCACTGTCAGCAGCAGTGAGTAGTAACTGCCCGCAGCCATCGGCGGCGAAGGGGGAGGCGGTAACTGCCCACAGAAGCTGGTGGTGGCTTCAGCAGCAGACAGTTTCAGGGAGGAGGGGCATGTGCCCCTGTCCACCCCTCCCCCCCCACGCGTCGCCTATGCTCTTTAGCTTTGTTTGCTAGACTTAAATCAAGCTCTTCTAGTCTTCTATCGTCTGATAGACTCTCTGTTTCTTTGATAATCCTTGTAGATCTTGTCTGCACATCTTCCTCTCTAAATTTCTTTCCTAAAAGTGGGTGACTAGAATAATACACAGTATTCCAGATAAGGCCTTACCATTGCCTGGTACAGTGGTTCCATAGCATCCTTCAAAGTGTCTTATGGCATCCCGGCTAAGAACCGCTGCACTAGTAATTCCTGTTTCTCCTGGACATAGCTTTTCTTGTGTATCCTATGATCTTTTCATAGCTTTAATTTGACTCCTTTACTCCAGTCATTTCTTTCTGTATTAACAGTACCTCCCAACTTTTTTGTCATATTTCATTATCTTACTCCTTTCTCTGTCAACCTCGTTAATGAAAGCATGAAGTAAGATTTGTCCCCAAACTGATCCTTGGGGAACTAGTAACCTCCATCCAACCTGATGCTTGCTCTTTCAGTACTAGTTCTGTCTTCTTTAGAAACATCCTTAGAATTCTACTGCTAATTGCTACCTTCCCTGGTTTTAATAATTTTTATATGGCCCCATATCAAATGCTTTACAAAAGTCTAGATAGGCAAAATCTACTTTACTTCTTTTGCCTAAAAAAGCAGCAGGTTAGTCTGGCACAGTCTGCCGTTGATAAGCCCAAGTTCCATTTCATCCTGTTTTTCACTCACTTCCAGCTCTGCTTATTCTTTCATTTTAGAAGTCATTTACAGGTTAGACCGGGGTGCTCAACCCCCAACTTGCAGGCCAGATGCAGCCCACAGAACTATGCCATCCAGCCCCTGGGGATCTCTATGATTTAGGAAATTTTGATGGCAGGGGAGCAGTGACAATTAATACTTTCACTCCCCACCCCCCATGCCAAATTCCTAAGCCCTACATGGCTAGATCTGGACTGGGCCAAGCCCCCTTCCCTGTGAAACTGGATCAGGGCCACACTGCTCCCCTGCCCAACTCTGCACAGATGGATTGGGTGGGCTCTGCCGTGCTTGCCCCACACACTGGATCCAGCTCACAGGCAGGCCAGACACCACTCATCCACCCTAGGATAAAAAGGTTGAACACCACTAAGTTATACCACCAGGCCTGTAATAGTCCAAATCACTCTTCCTCCCCCTTTCCCCCTGTATCCCATTCACTTAAATCTGTTTCTTACCCTCTTATTCCTAGCATTCTTTGTGGCGCTCTAGTTATGCACTTAGTTGTGCAACCCCTTTCATTCTGTTTGCTTGGGAGCTCCTTCACCCCAAAGAAATTCCAAGGCTCTCCCCTATCCAGCTCTGCTTCCTGAGCTGCTCAGTCCAGATGGCTTTCTTTGTTCATTTTATCAAAGTTTACTTTTTTTCAGTTTTAGATCTACCTTTGCTTATTCTTCTATTCAGTTTAAACAGAATTAGCTTGTAATGTTATGATGTAAGGTTATTTTCTATGACCAGCTCATCTGTGTCTTCATGACTTCCCAAAACAGCATCCCCCATTTTTGACTTTTGGACCATTTGGTGAAGAAATCTGAAATTTTTGGGAGCACTTGCTCTGCTTATAGTGCAGACAGTGGCTAATGGTATTAACTGTCCTCCTTAACTGTCCAGCATTTAGCTTGAAGCTGTTTTTCTACCTTAGGTGTAGGCAGGCATATAGTATCCTAAAGACGCTTTACTTGCACCTTTCCCTTAAA